CAAGATCTGAATCAGAATGTCTAATTCCAGAGACTGAGTTTGTTGCTACCATGTTACACACAGTGTCTTATTAGTTTTTCTCCACAGACATTTTACCAATAGAATAGCAAAAGATTTACAGAAGGTGGGTGGTCTCTAAAGTTTTAACACAGATATGCATAGCAGATCAGCATTGCATCTATTCTAGCTTTATGTTTACTTTAGGTTCTTAGATCCTAGAAGAATTTTTTTTTTTTTTAAAGTTAAGGTGTACCTGTGACAATGGATTCAACACATTTGATTTTGTGTGGTAAGAATCTAAATATTTTTAGAAGCTAGAACAACAAAAATGGGTTTTCCAGTTTAAGAAAAAAAGTAGTTTTGGGCAATAACAATAGTTCTTTCAATGAATGCATGAACTTAGAAATGCTTATAAGCATTATTCTTGACACTTTTTCTATGAAATGTGGATCATGACTCAAGTTCTCCCTGGGTAGCTAGGAGAGCAGAGTTACATATTGGGTGTGAGAGCAATCTGAAAACTGCAAAGCAGGCTTCAAATGAAAAGTCGACTGTTTCAGCAATAAAGTAGTATTAATTAATAAATATTTGTTCTTGCAGTAATTTCATTTTACCAAGTGATTTCAGTTATCTATATTGATACCTAAACTCTCTTTTTGCCTTGGAAATGTCACCTCCTCCAAAGTCTTGCTCCTCCATGCACTGAGCCTGTGTTGTTCCTACTTTGCTTACAGGTTTACTTTTCAGTGTATGATTGCTCCTCCCAGTAGATTGTGTGTTCTTAGAGTTACTTTCTATTAAACTTTATATCTCCCTAGAGAGCTCACTACATTGATACATAATAACCAACACTGAAAGAATATAAGGCAAGAAGATATAAACAATGTCTCCCATATTTTTGTTCTCATATTTTATCCAAGTATGGTTTGCTGGTATAGGAGCCATTTGGACTGCTGAATAAACATATTAATAATCTAATATTTAGAACAACCACTACATAGTATTGCCAGATTAAAATAAATTATGTGTTTACATGTGCAAATCTGTAGTGAAACAGGTACTTCTCTAATAAGAACATAAGGAAAGCAATGGGAATAATTTTCATTTATGATTTGTAAAACCAATCTTCTTATTTTAAAATTTTACCTCGTAAATTAAGAAAATTCCTTTATAGTTGTGCTTACAGCTTTAGTGATAAATGATAGATAAAAATAGCTATTTTTTTCATTTAAAGTGGTTTTGTAAACAGAATTGGTTTTCTGGAGGATGTACTATAAACAGGTCACAGTGAACACATTGAAGGTCCACTCTTAAAGAACATGAACAGAAATATGATCTATGCCTAATAACAGAAAGAAGGCAGTACAAATGGCTTTCCAAAGGCAATGAATTTGAACAGGGAATGTCTAATATTAAAGTAGTATTTATGAAATAGATGAGATAGCTTAAGAGCAGAATTCTTATGCATATAAGACCTTTCTACAAGCTTGTGGATTTATCATCAAACAAATATTTACATTTCTTATTATGTTCTTATTTTCAAAAATTGAAAATAAATTATTTAAAAATTCTCCTGCCTGAAAGTACTACTGCATCTAAACTTATCTAAACTGACAAATGATAAAAAATTAAGAAATGCTAAGAAGTCTGCAAAGGTATATAATTATATAGAATCACACAAACATAATCTGTATGTGAAACATTAATAAAAAGTATTAAAATTCTTCATTAGGAAATGGAGTTCAGAAATCCCAATTTCTAAGCTCTTCATATCTCATTGGACAGTTTATAATCTTTATGCCTGGAAAAAATTTAATTCTTTTAACTTTTCATCTTATTTTGTAATGTAATTTCCTTGATCAATGTCATTACCAAGCTAATGACTAGTAGGTTCAAAATTTATTATATACTTTATATCAATGTATTCATCCTGTGTTACAGAGAGGTAAAATGAGTCAGTATGACAGTTATATTGCTTAAACATAGCATTTCACAATACTGATAAAATTATTTTGCACATGTCACCTCAGAGGAGTGTAAAGAGAAAACTCTAAATTACAACAGAACTTGGGCTCTGCCTATATTCTCTCTTAACTTTGAATGATGTGTACACCCCTCTAAAGATAAACTATTACCTTAGTGTGATAACAACAATATGGGTAATTATGAAGTACTCATGTCAAGCTCCCAATTCTGGCATCAATGAATATATGTAAAAGGTATTTATAT